CGTCTGTGGCTCCAGGGAGAGGACACCCAGGTCGAGGCCCCCAGCAGCCTCCGAGGACTTGTTCGTTCTTCTCAAGAAAGACTTGAGATGGGGAAAAGGTGTCGCTCTCCCATGAAATTGTCACAGTGTGGCAGCCTGGTGGAAGTTCTGTACATGGGTTGGAGAAAACCCTCAGCGCCCTGAATCTCATCCCGAATCCCTGTTAATCTCACACAGAAACAGGTGCTGGGAGGCGGCCAGGACGGCGGTGTGAGTGGCTGCAGCAGATCTGGGTCCTTGCCCTCTCAGCCAGCTGACATGAGGGTCGTAGGTTCACGGCGAGCGCTCTGCCCCCCTCCCCACCACTCCCTTTCTCTGTCTCTGGGGTACTAATGCAAAATTAAATGCAAAATGTCGATGAATTATGTCTTTTTCAAGGCTTTGACTCAGATTTGTACTTTGATATATGAAAGTGAATATCAAGCTTGTTTGTACGGAAATAAGACTGTATATAAAAATGAGTCTGTGTTGTGTATAGTGACATATATTTTATGTTTACCCAACGCTGTGCTAAACTTTGTGCTTGGCTTTGAATTATATGTATATTTACACCTGACTTTTTTTAAATAAAAAGGAAGATTTAAAGGTCATGGAAAGATCTTTTTTTTTTTTTTAATTGTTACCATCTAGTCATATGGTATGTCTTAGACTGTTAGTGTTTAAATAAAAAACTTTATTTTGCTTGGAATAACTCCAGATCAGAGAACCCACTGCCTTCTCCTTGTGTTTCTGCAGCTGGCCTCACTTGAGGCCACAGGCTCCTGGGCAGGTGCTCTGATGGCGCTCGTCCTGCGTGTCCAGCACCTTGTGGCCGTGTGGGAGGCGGGCAGAGCTCCCCCGGGGCTCACTGGCTCTGCCCGGGGGAAGCAGGCTGTGCCACCTCCTTCGCTTTCCTCAGCTTGCTTTTCCTGCAGGTAATGTAACCAGCCCTGAGCTCTTATCTAAGATTAGGGCTGAGGCTTCTGGGGAAATTATAGAGAAAAAGAAATGGAGATTTGGAGAGACTCCCATCAGCATCCAACCCTGTGGAGCGATCTTATTTTCGCTATTATTAAAAGTAAGGGGAAGGGATCCTCAGCTTCTATACCTATTAGTTGGTTGGCCGTTGATACAGTTAATGAAAGACAATTGAATTTTAGCTCTTACTCAGTTTGGACCCCCTCGTTTGTTTGTGTGATTTAGTACTTAAAGTCCAATGAAGTTTCTGTGAATATGTAGTGCTGTACATAATGGCAGCTTCATAAATGTGAAATAACCTCAAATATGTGGTGTTTGTACATGCATAGCCACTAGTGTTGTTATTTTGGCCACTTTTTTATTCAAAATAAATAACAAATATTTGTATATGTGTGTCTCT